AGACTCGATCAAGCACAACAAGGCCCAAAACGAGGGCTTAATTACAATAATTAAATAACCAAAAGCAAGCTAAAAGAAGGGATGCCAAAACAGAAACCGTTTCAGTACATGCAACAATTCATCTTATGAATTAAACCCCACCAAGCTAAATAAGTATAAAAAGCATGCTTTGATACCACTTGATGAAACTCTTAGACATGCACAGCGGAAGCTAAGGATCATAATACACTTAATGAAGCAATTTAACTAAAATAAGCATGCTTGGAAAAATGATGAAAAAGGTAAAGAGAAAAAGATTAACTTTATACCTTTGAATACCTCTATTATAACTTCTTCTCCTAACTCAATGGGACCACCAGCGACAAATCTGTGCTATCCTCGAGTTGATGAACATGGTTGTGGGACCGAATTTTGAGTGAAAACAAAGGGAAAACACTAATGACTAGGAGAAGACAGTAGAAATTTGAGTGGAAAAATTCTGCACTTATGCAAGTAAGCATTAGCCTTATTCAAGTGATTTTCATCACCTATATAAAGATCAAATGCATGCAAAGACATGTATGTCTCATTGCCTTGAAGAAACACTTCAAAAACCACTAGTTAGTGGGAAAATCCAACTTTGATAAAACTAATTTTTATAAAAACAAAATTTGAAATATCAATTTTCTATTAAAACAAAAACCAAGCCAAATCAATATCTCCTAAGCTTGATTAATCACATTAATCAAATTACAACTCATTTTCATGCTTTGAACTTATTTAAAACTAATTTAAATAAGTCATACTCGCCACAATAATTAAATGTCAATTAGATTATATATTATATCTCATATAAAATACAATATTCCCTTAAAAATCGAATTTGAACACTTCAAATTCTTGCTTCACCTAGTTCATCAATTTTATCCTTTATGAGCTAGCATGGAGACCCGTTGGACCTACAGATCATGGGCTCCAACGATTCGAGACTAACCGGTCAAACTCTTTAACTTAGTTAATCAACATTCGTTAACTAACA